GACTGACTAACTGGACTAAATATAGAGAGCAACAGGAAGTAGACGGGCCCAAGCCAACAACTATAGCCCAATGGACACCGTACATTAAGGGTCTCTATGACAAGAACACCAAGATATATCAAACAACTACCGACGCATCTGCCATTGACACCCACTTGACACATCTTTGGGAAGCTCATCGAGGCCTCCCGAAACGGTGGCGCCGACAAAAGCTAAATAAGAAACTCAGACTCCGTATAGTGAAAATCACGGAGGAAGTAAACGCATACTCAAAGGAACTTTACACCAACAACTGGCGCACCTTCTGCGATTCCTTAAAAGGCACATTAAGCAAGAAAAAGACGTGGAACATCCTACGGAGTCTTTTGGATCTCTCTGCAACAAGAACCGAAACAAACGCTACCCTTCAACGGCTAGCTGGGGAATTTCAAGGTGATCCGGATTAGTTAATAGAAGAGCTGAAACAACGCTACACAGGAAAACGCAAGCGAAACGTTAGCCCAACACCCAGTCAAGAATACAATGGAGAACCCAACACTGAGCTCGACGCCCCCATAACCTTTGCTGAGGTTTATTCAGCGGCTCAAAGCTTCAAAAGAAATACAGCGCCCGGATTGGATGGCATTACAAATGCCATGGTACGGAACCTCAGCGATGAAGCATTACAAGCCATCACAGACCACTTGAATCAGGAAGTCTGGACACCGAGTGGAAAGATACCTGCAGAATGGACACTGGCACAGGTTGTACTCATACCTAAACCAGGCAAACGGCGAAGCCTTGATCAGCAACGACCAATTTTTTTAACGTCATGCATTGGCAAGCTCTTCGAAAAAGTTATACTCACTCGCCTTGACCAATACACAGAAGAACGGGGGCTTCTACCAACATCTATGTACGGATTTAGGCGAGGAGTGTCTACCCAGGATATCTTCTTACTGCTCAAAGAGGAAGTGCTTAACCAAGCTCCAGGTAGTCTCAACAGTCTACTCGTTGCACTCGACATCGAAAAAGCATTTGATAATATTGCGCACTCTACCATACTAGACGGTCTTGCAGCCATAGGATGCGGACAACGCATATTCAACTATGCCTCTGATTTTCTTGGAAATCGCAAGGCGCAGATTGGCATAGCTGGTACCAAATCATCACCATACGACCTCCCACTGAAAGACATACCTCAGGGCTCCATCTTGTCTCCATTTTTATTCAATATCGGCCTCCGGAAACTAGTCCTCCAGCTGGAGACTGTACCAAACCTGGGCTGTGCCTTTTACGCGGAAGATATTACGCTATGGGTAACAAAGGGCTCCTATGGAGAACGTCAAGATGTACTGCAACCCGCTATAGACATGATTCAAGGCTACCTCACTGCTGCAGGCATGTCGTGCGCACCTAGCAAATTGGAATATTTGCAAATAATACCCCCACGCACTTGGTCCAACCGTGCACCCGCGCTGCAGCTAGAAATTGCCGGACAGATCATCAACAGGACCCCAGTAGCTCGAATATTAGGCATGCATGTTCAAGAAAACAACAGCGTAAAGACTGCAATAGGCAAACTCAAACACACCGTAAAGAGTATTGCATCCCTCATAGCTAGAATTTCGCGAAGTAATGATGGGATGACAGAGGCCGACACGGTACGCCTTGTACCTGCCTTCGTTCTCAGCCGAGTGACGTTCGCTCTTCCCTTTCAGTCAACACGCAAGCCCGAAATAGAGCAGATTGACAGACTCATCAGAATTGCGTACAAAGCAGCATTGCGACTTCCGAACAGCACAAGCACAGAAAAACTCATGGGACTCGGCATGCATGATACGTATGAAGAATTGGCCGCCGCCACGCTAATCGCACAGCGAGAACGACTCACCACTACGCTCCAGGGAAGAACACTGCTACAGAGGCTGGGATACCCTCTCACCCCTCAATATTGTGGCGATGAGACAGTCATTGTACCCAAGCAAATACGTGATCAAATAATCGTGGAACCAGTTCCAAAAAACATGCACCCGCTCTACAACAAAAAGCGCCGTGAAGCGCGAGCACGAAAACTCCTGCTGAGAAGTAGCGATCCAGACGCTTACTTTACCGACGTCAGTCTTTATCCCGCGCCACCACAAGGCTCCAGAAAACAAGCATATGCATTGGCAGTGACTAACCAAAGCAAAGTCGTGGCCTGCGCGTCCCTAAGCACCAGATCAAGTGCCACCGCAGAGGCAGCAGCCATAGCCTTGGCAATCAGAGAAGCCGAAAGAAGGGGGCGCTCAGCGTATATTTTGACAGACTCACAAGCTGCATGTCACTTATACCTTAGAGGCACACTTCCAAGGTGCGTCACTGATATTTTGGGGTCCGTGTTAATGGAGGCACATGGCGTCACTTGGTGCCCAGGGCATGACGGCCTGGGGGGAAACGAGGAGGCAAACTGCGTAGCTCGCGGACTTACTGGCCGAGACGCAGGACTCTCCTCAGGACACCTCACAGGGCATCATGAAGAGCAAAGTGTAACAAGCAGGCAGATATTGGAAAACCAACGCCTTACAAGACGCACGTACGCCCCTCCACATCCGAACTTAAGCAGCCAACAAGCCCGGGATTGGCGCCGCCTCCAAACGAACACATACCCCCACATATCAAAACTACACGCAATTTTTCCACAGATATACACAACAGGGGTATGTCCATGGTGTAGTAACCACACAGCCACACTTACACACATAACCTACCAATGTACCGAGCGGCCAGCCAATGCAGTATCTAGGTTGGTGCGCTCACTACAAACACTCACAACGTGGTCTTGGGAGGCACGGCTTTCCGAGCTGGCACTGGGGAGCCAACTGGTGACCCTAAACTAGGCCCGGCGAGCCGCTGTGGCCAGTGGGGCTCTACAAGAAGGCTCCACCCGGGATTAGTCACGTAATTTTAATTCTTCAATAAAGTTTATTCTCTCTCTCCACTTGCATCGTACTCGGGTTGTCTTGACGTGGGTTAGACGTCTGCGTTTCCATGAGAGCTCTTTACCTCAGACGCTGCGTCTCTGTGTTGCGCGAGCAACGTGCTCGTGCACCTACGAGACGCTGACGTCCAGCTCGTTTCGCAGGCCCGTCGCCACAGCGGCGTTCGCGTGCAGCGCGTCCTCTGAATTCCATGGCGCGTCCCAGCGAGCAGGCACAATATGTTTAGAGTTCAATATCTAGTAAAAAAGTACACTCACTGCCATGAGTCTGGTGTCAAACGATGCCTTGCAACGTGAGCATTTAATTTGCAAGAAAAAAGTAAAATGGCCAATCAGTGCGCAAAACTGAAGTACAATGTACGCAGAAAGCAGCCGTGTCGCCAACCTAAAATTTTTGCCACTAGATGAGGTCAAAAGTAGCCATTTTAGTGCAAAGTTGTTACCAACGGTTACCCTGCACATGTGAAGTGTGCACCGAGAAGCACCGAACGAAAAAGAAGGAGAAGGCTATGCGAATGGGGCACCGTGACGCTGTCTTGTTACGCTCCTGTAGACAAACTTTCAACGTACTTTAATGCTTAGTAAATGGATAAGCAATTTCTCTGCTATTAGCAAGTTAACTCTCACAATAGCAGAAACAGTAGGCTTGCGGCGAGAAGTTCAATGAGCGAGAAAGAGGTATAATCGAAAGTGCGTTTCGGGACACCACTTTGAAGTTCCAGCACCTGTCGTGGTTACGTCACAGACTTTTGCGTCATCAAACAAAGCCTCCGTAGTTCGTAATGTGCAGAAATGAAGGACATTGTCTTCTGTGGTACCCTTTGAAACAAATTCTCAAGTTTCACCAACCTCAGTTCAATTGATGTGATCGAACTATAAACAAACGCTCTACTTAGTATCGTCCCCATCAAAGATTTTGAAGGGAGATTTAGAATCAAAACTTTTGACGTTGATTTTCCAAGTAGTAAAAATTTCCAATTGTGTTAAAAATGAAGGACTCTGGAGCTTCGGCCTAGACAAATTGAGCGTTAGACATTAGCTTCCCTTGAAATGTGGTATTTATCCTCCTCAGTCTCAAAAATGCACCAACAAAAAAGGTTTCACAAAACTGTAATATTTGATTTACCGTCCCTAAAAACAAACACAAAAAATATGAACCTGAAAAATTAAACAGTTGTTTTAAGATGTGATGGTACCCATTTGCGTACTCTTGATATTTTGAAATCTCCCAGGTTGAGTGCAACAAAAATATCGGACCTAAAGGACTTTCAATATGATATACAGGTCCTCCACCGTTACATGAATGTACTGTAGACGTTATCGTTCCCGCTACAACTAAGAAAAAGAGCTTTCACTCATCACAAGAACGCAGCGGAGGGCTCGTGCAATAAGCATCCGAGCTTTCGTGGAGTACTCAGCCCTTTTCGTTCGGTCGTTTTGCGAATATATGACTAGAAACACGGCACCGTGCACTTCTCAGGGCTTCATGAAATCAACTCATCCTTATATTTCCAAAACAAATTTGGACTCGGAGCTATCGAATTCTGATGATCTGTGGCCTTTAAAAGAATGGTACCCAATGGGGTACGCAGGGCCCGAGGAGGTTATAGAACTGCTGAAGTAAGCTCTCGAGCCTGACCAGAAAATTTGATACAAAGCCAAGCTATGTGCCAATATGACATTAAGACCCAAGCGTCAGCGATTCCACCACATTACGAGCTCGCAAGCCCAAAACAAGCCTAAGAAAATGCTATTTTTCTATTCTTCCTGATTGAAAGTGCATTCACAATGATATAGTGACTTCCTACACAGCAGGCTGGGGTTCTTGGGAACAGTCGCTGTTGTATACAGCTTTCTTTCATTATGTATATACTCGCAGTTGGTTACATATCGTATTCCCTTCCACGATTACAGCAATCTGGTTCTCTTCGCATAAGATAGGGTGAATGTGTGTGCTTTTCCTGTCCCGTATAGAAATAGTCAGAAAACACGTGGATCATTGCAATTGCAGTAGTTGTGAGCATAATTCACAAGCACTTACCATTTCCTTCTGGTGCCTTTGGCGCAGGTGTCGCGGTATCTGCACCACGATGAGATTCGGTGCCACCATCCTGTTCTTCATCTTCCTCTAAGTTTAATGTAACAAAAGGTGACCATGATTTTAATAATTTTTCGTTGAGAAAGTTTCAACTGGGCAAACATATGCTATATGAAAAACAATGTAGCCGTCATTTTCACTGGTGTGATATATGTAATAAGTTTGTTTAGGAAAAGCTGCTTAGGAAGCCCAATCATACGAGTTGCGTAACTTTGAATTTATATCGAATGTTTATTACCTACGTTTCGGTATTGACTTGACTACTGCTCATTCATTTTCTTGGGGGCACTCAAATATGTTCCTGCTTGTGTCAACAAAAAATTGTAACCCAGAAAGATTTGTGAATGCTGCCAGTTTCAGTTCCCCTTTGCCTAGGCAAGAAATGTTTCCCGTTAAAGCACGCTGTTCCAGAGATTTCGACTATCAAAAATTTAATGATAAAGAGAGTCGCATTGAAGTGATCACCTTGAAATAAAATTCTCTTGTTCAACGACATCACGTACTTGGACACGGCTGCCTAAAGAAAAGCCAATATTAAAAAAAAGCAGTAAGCCACATTCGTGAAAAACAATAAATGCATTGTTACTACTCAACGACGACCAATATTTTTTATGCACACCGTTTTGATGTACTGATCATGACGATGCAAAAGTTGATTTAAATATAAATATATGAGCTTGATAGCACCTTCAGATATTTTGCTAGATTGTAAAATATTCCACTAAGTCTATTCATTCCAAAATTTCAAACACAGATTCCAATATATCTTTTCTATTGTTGAACAGATTATTCTACTGTTCTAAAAAGGGTGCTTGCGAGAAAGGAACTCTAACTAAGATCAGTATCTATCAAGATAACCCGAGAACGAAAAGCTGCAGCTTTGCGGGGCACTGCATTCTTGAATGCTCCAATTTAAAACTAGGTGTTTTCTGCCTAACAAGTCATATAATTTTGCTCAACATATCGGTATACTATAGCTTGTATTTTCGTAGATGTGACCAGATGTGCCAGTGTCGCCTGGTAATAATAGACGGTAATAAGAAATGATAGATGAATGTAAAACATGTGATCTCTCATACAACATATTTGTCATCTTTGTTTTCTCTTTACGCGTGCTCCAAAAAAGCCTTAGGTGCGTGATAAATCGCTCCGTAGGCATTTAAGGGCACTGCTTTAGTTTCGAGTGAAGGTGATGTGGAGAAGAAAAAAAGAAAAAGGAGAATGTTATTTTTAGCATTGTTTTGTAAAGTACAGCATAGCGAAACGCGGGAAAGAAAATTGACAGTGAGAGGCACTAGTGAGGATAAAGCAGAAGATAAATCTTTGCAGTACATCATAAAAAGGGTTGGAAACAAGAAGCGAGAGTGGGGGAGAGAGAGAGGAGGAAGATAGCAGCACCAGGTGCACTGTCTGCTAAGTTTTTGCACCACGAGTGCTTACCTACCCAAATACTTTTAGGGTGAGCCTAAGGGGGGGGGGGGGGGGTCCGCTTGTCATTTCATGCAAGTTTACTGCTCTTCCGCATTACTATCAGCGCTATTTCAGCTTGTATTTACATCTACGGTCTTTTGTCGGCGTCCGAACTGTGCATTCTTGCCTTTCTTACTCTCGTTTTTTGTTTTATGTGCTATCTATTATGCCCTCTTTCTCCGTGCCGAGTGTATGGCAGCCAACCCAGCCAAAGCTTGTTTAGCCTTCGTGCATTTCCTCTTCGTTTTTTTCTTTCTCAGTTATATTGATCAGATGTGGAAATAACAAAAAGCGAGTGATTGCCTTGACCGATCCACAATCTCTTTCATGGAGAGTCCATGATAAAAAAAATTAAGGCACGTTAGTCAGCTAATACATTAAATCTTCACTCAATGGTTTGCAAGCACTGATATCCTGCATTCTATAATTCATGATCAAATGGTCGATCGCAGAGCACCGACAAAGTCGAAAATAGGCGTTCAAGAGTATTTTTGCCATATTGGGACAGGCATTTTAGCTAGACGGTTGATGACTAGACTCACTAGCACTCATTTAGGTTTAAGTGGAGCTTATGTCTCAGTCCGAGTGAGTGCCGGTAATAAGATGTTGAGATTAAGTCAGAGTGCGACCGGTTGAGTTAGGGAGCCAAAGAATGAGTGAGTCTTTGTAAAGCAAATTTTGATTAATCTAAACGTGAGGGATCGGTAACGGTGATGCAGCTCTTGACTGCGCTTTGCAAACTCAAGGTTTTTTGTTTTCGTATAAAAAGTAGCACTCTTGTCATCGGCAGTGTCATCTACAAATAAAAGTGTGTCCACTTCCGAATACAATAGGCGCACATCTTTAGGCGGACGCGATGCGCCTTTATGCTCCTGTCAGTTCCCCGTCGTTAATGTGCGGAGACTCGCATCACCTGGCCCTGGCAAAGATTTAGAAAGAACATGGCTGCGGAAAACGAGCGTTAGCTAGTGAGATTCGTCGAAGGCACTACAACGGTTACCGCTACTTAAGAAAAAACAGAGAAAAACTAGAGGCTTTGCGTGTATATATACCCAAGCAAGTTCAATAGTTTTTTTTTGTTTTTTTTTGGGGGGGGGTGCACCCCGAGTGCCATGCCACTCCCACCTCCTCAGTCTATGCTCCTGGTAGCTTTCAAACGCTCCTCGGCTCAAGAAAAATTTCCGCTTAAAGAGCGCGACAAACACCCGTACCCACGCTCGTTCTTGACGTATTCGAGACATTTTTGCACCAGTTTATTTGCGAGAAAGTGAACTCCAATGCGAAAGTCATTCGAGCATTACTTCAAAAAAAAGTTGTTCATTTAGCCTAATAAGTACTTTAGAGTACTAAATAAAGAGTAATTTACTTTACTGACCCTGAGTACAGTATAGTTAGAAAAACCTTATTTATTGATTTGAAGAAGTGCCACATCTTAGGGTGACACCAAGGGCCATTCCCACGTGAAGACAGTAGACCTCGCCAAACCGCCGCATCCCCGGCTCTCTGGACAGCCAAAAGTCGATGTTGATATCCCGAGCTCTTGAGAGCCGAGCTCTATTTCTGCTCTGTCAGGTCCTTATCCGCACGTAACGAAGGGCACCACCGAATCATGTGCTCTAAATCGCACGTCACCCTGCAGCGAGGACACTGCTAGCTGAAGTCACTTGGGAATGGACACGGCATGAAAACCAGATTCGGGTAAGAATCGGTTCGTAGCATCCTCAGGGTTATCAGCCTGTGGGTGTGATGGCAGAAATACTCTTCTTTCCAGATAGAAGTGCTTTATTATATCAATAAATGTAGTACGATAATAATAATAATAATAATATTAATATAATAATAATAATATTATTAATAATAATTATATGGGGTTTAACGTCCCAAATTTATTATTGAGAATAATGTGCCCAGTACATTTGTACCACGCATTGCGACAAGGCCTCTGGTCCCGCGCAGAAATTTGGTACGCGTGATTAGGAAGGAGAGATGTCATTGAGGTTAGAGTTAGTACGCGTGCTTAGGAAGGGGTGATGTCGTTGAGGTTGGTTAGTGAGTCAAAATTTTGACATAGGCGTGCCGGGAACCAAGTCATCGTGTGTATAGTTATGGTCCTGTTCTTAAAAACCTCATGTGCTTCTTTCTCTATTGAGCCCGAGGCAAATGCTATGACGGCTGACCTAGACGTTCAAAGTTGCTGTCACTTACCTTCCGTCGCGATCCCATAAATTACCAAAGAGAACAGAACAGCATAAATTAACAGCTTCATTGCTGAAGTCTTCTTATGCGTAACTGCTTTAAACTGAAGAGCTGTTCTTTCGGTCAAGACTTTAAGTAGATTCACTTATTTCAAATTGCATTTCTAGTCACACGTCACGTCGTAGGCATCCTTTCCTTTGAGTAAAATGGAGCACCTTGTCAGCTTAGTAGGATTAAAGCCAGGTGCTGGCGTTAAGAGCGTTGATGCAGCTGGAACTGCTTGCGGTTTTACAGCCCAACATAACAATGTTTTCCCCAGATTCCTAGTAAGTTTTATTTCTATATGGAAATTTTCTCTATTGTATTATAAGAACATATTAGGCAAGGTGACTTTCACGATTACAAAAAAAAATCTTTTTATTTATTCAAGTGGGTCCATCAAAGTACGCAGACAATGGTAATTGCCTTAAGGAACGTATAAAAATATTCTATAGACACCGGATCCTTCCGATCCAGTTCATACGAATAACATCAGCATCACAGAATTAACTGGGCAGTGTCTGTGTAGTTAAGCAACCAGATATGATTTATTTTTGTCTTCAAAGTTGGATAATTGAATTAATTCTTCCTTCTACATTCGTTAAAAAACACACAATAAAAAAATGACCTACAGCTGGAAAACATCTCTTTGGCTTTAGCGATTTGCAATCATTTCCCATGAGCAGCGCTCAGTTGGATTTGTTGAGTACAATAAAACCTCAAAGGCCTTGTGCTTCTTTGAAAGTGCTCAGTTACGCCTCACAATGACGAATCTGTTACAAATTCCGCTTAATAAATTTGTATAGATAGCTTCCCATCGGCCATTCCTGTGACAAGGCTTCTTCTTTGCGGGACTTCATTGTATGCATTCGTATCATGCACTTCTAGCCATGTGACCCTCTTATTATTCCACCAACGCTGGCTGCATTGCCCTAAATACAATACCACTGCAACAGAAACGGCTATGTAACAATAAAGAACAAAAATACAAAAGGCGTTGTCATGAAATAGTTAGGAATTGTTGCTCGTAATAAGCTCCCCTGACAGGTCGTAGGTCACTACTTATTGGTTTCCAAAAGATTTAGGTTATTATGATTGTGTTTTCGAATGCGACTAAAGAAATGAGTGATATGTAGCGACGTGGTCGCGAACGTGCACCCCGCGGTCATGAAAATCTTCGGAGCAACATTCCAAACAACTTGCTGCTCTCCTCTCTGTTTCTCCTTAGCCTTTTTAACTCTTACCACTACCGGTGCACTGAGTGCACCTGCTTTATTTTCGAATCTCTGGTTGTCTGAATAAAGTGGACGTTGTTACTAAAAAGACGTGTCCGTCTCGTACAGCATGGCTCTACAGATACAAGGAAGTTTTACGCGAGATCATTTGCAAGTGTTCTTTCGTTACCCACTGTTTTCTTGCGTTTTTCAGTGGTTTTACTTGTTTCATTAGCAAATGCTTTTCATATACTTTTTTTTATTTTCGTACGAACTCATTGTACGCCCCATTGGCACATGTTATTGCCAAGACGCTTGGGCCATTATTTTTGTTTCAAAGGCAGCCAGTACACTTTCGGTTATTCGCTAAACAGTGAATGTTTGTACTTAATTGTTACCTATGACGCGGTGGTCTAGCGGCTAAGCTACTCAGCTGCTGACCCGCAGGTCGCGGGATCGAATCCCGGCTGTGGCGGCTGCATTTTCGATGGAGGTGAAAATGCTGTAGGCCCGTGTGCTCAGATTTGGGAGCACGTTACAGAGCCCCGGGTGGTCCAAATTTCCGTAACCCTGCACTACGGCGTCTCTCATAAGCATATGGTGGTTTTGGGACGTTAAACCCCACATATCAATCAAGAATTCATTGCGCGGCAATTTTAGTTTGCTTTCATTTGTTTCGTGTCGTTAGCTTGGGGAGGCATGTAGCCCCTGGCAGGCAGCATTGCTTTAGTTGCATTCGGTTGAAGCGTGCCCCACCGGATAAGCCATGAACGCAAAGACAGTCTGGTGTCAGCATGATACCTTGCGTAGTTCTGCAGCGCCAGAGACGGCCGCATGTTTCGAGTTCCTGTAAACTTAGGGGAAAAAAACCGACCCCCACGGGGACAGCAGGGATTAGAAACATCACGGTGACGGCCCCCCAATTGCCTCAAGGGACTGGCAGCCTACGCATCAAAAGGCCTCTTGCGCGACCCAGCGAATTGGGGTGACTCCTCGCATCGGTTCGGCTTATGGCACGGCCATGTACATGCAGTTCGCACACCGGTAAAATCAGTGGCGCGCATTGCGAAACGGCCGTGATTGCCGCGAACCTTTCGTTCCGGTCCAGTGAGGTAGCTATCGAAAGCGGGCAGGCTCACGACAAGTCGGCGCCTGAGTACCTATTGTTGAATTTGAATTTCTTCGACTGCTCCCGCGTTAATTCTTGCAAATAAGCTCGTAAGTAGAACCATGGGCGGTCAGCGGGTAGTTTCTCTTACGCGCACATGGAACAGGCGGATAGTTGCCCCATCGTCAAAAAGTTGACGTGTTAAGGGGATGCCGTTTTATGGCCGCCAAAGCCCAGTACGTGTAGCTTTAAGTGTAGATAATTGTGCGCCGTGGCCTATGCTTCTATGATATTTTGTAGTTTTGTGTTATTTACAATTTGGTTGTAGTGTTATTTGTGAAGAGGGCATGAGCTCTCACATGCAAGAAGGTTGCGCCCTCGTGACGGGTTTTCGATCGACCAAGTGCACTGTCCGAAGAGTGGACAAGCAGGCGACGATTCGCCAAGAGTTGTGTAAGGGTGGAGCATTGAGGAGATAAGAAGAGGCCCGGACTTTCCGCCAAGGGTTCTGAACTGGGCTTAATGTGTTAGGCACCATCGGCTCTGCCAAATCCCGTAGAGTCAGCCTACAAAAGACGGTTCATTTCCAAAGTGTATTTTTTTTCTTGTAACTATGATGTCCGTACACTCTAAAAAATTTACATCCACAAAGGTGTATTTTTTGTCCCATGGTCAACACCCTTTAGGGTGTCTATAAGAGCACTCTAAACAATAAGGTGTTTATAAACTCCCTGAAACCATAGGGAGTAAAGAAACGTTGCGCCCTACTTTAATAGGTGTTTATGAACACCTCTAAACTATGGGTGTTGGATGAAGCTACACCCATGTGAGTGGGGTGTAACACTAAAAACCCCCTTGAAACGATGGCAGTGATATGGATAAGCATACTTAATCAAATGAAGTGCGAAAAATGGGACAACAAAACCAGAGACACACGAGGTGACGCCTAGTCTTGTGTGTTGAGGAGAGCCGTTCATAGCAGTTCATTGCATCAAATATCCATCACCAACTGGCCCAAGCTTCAGTTGTTCTCAAGGAGAAGCATATATGAACCTTCTCTGCCACTGACAGGGAAGAAGGAGGATACCAGTGTCACCCACTGCACTTATACCTGCATGCATGCAGTTGATAAAATGATAAAATAAGGTGCCGTGGTCTTGAATGAGATGCATGAGACCAGTGTATATATGTGTAGGAGGACTGGCTGAAAACAACAAAGTAGGATGCGGCTGACACACACACACACACACACACACACACACACACACACACGCACACACACACACACACACACAGCAGTAACATGTAGCATAAGGTTCAACCGAACATAACGCCGAAGCAAAAAACAATTAAGCCCATATGTTCACATCTGCTTTTATTATAGAAAAACTGCAAGTCTGACAAACAGGACTCTGATGGCATTCTGCGAAATTTTGAAATATCTCGCGTGACCAAGTTTCTTTCTCTCTATACTAGAAATTCATTGTTTTCAATACAATAAATCTCCACAACTTTCAAAAACATTTGCGCTAGTCGGGCAAACGACTGAGAAGTATGGCGTTGATTGACACCTATACAGTGGAAAAAACACGTAAAAAAAGTAAGCGAGTTTCTAGAATCACATTTACAACTTATTATATTTCGCAGTATAAACTTCGGGATTAAAAAAATGAGAATATTCGACAAGGTCTTGTAATTGGGGTAGCATACGATTGTAATGTCAGTGTTGGTATACTTCTATTTGCAAAACCACAGCTCGTCACTGCTGCTTGCACAATCATCTTCAGCTGCATATATGACTGGTGCCTTCGAGAGAATTGGGGCGAAGCTGTTCTTTCTGTACAGAAAATTCAATCCCGAAAACCTAAAAAAAATACACAAGGAAAAATGACCGAAATTTCACAAAAAGTGCAACATACAGTATGCACCCTGTATAACTAACTGCTTTCTTATGTGTAAGTATAAATTGAGGGCATAGCAAGCATATTCAGTGGCATGGGGCTACGCTTCAGTGAGAAATGCTAGAAAAGGTATGCTGGGCAATAAACGCCATAAAAAGCGCGCTGTGGCAGAATCATTATACCTTTCATGCCGCAGATGTGAACATTACTTTACCCTTTCAGCTTGCTCACGCATGTGAATAAGAAGGTGCTGCTCCAAGTTGATAATGTTTCATTAGCTGCATGCATCGACTAATTTAAGTGAATGTGAAGTTTCATGCTTAAGTATGCATCAACACAGCTGCATGTGATCTACCATGGTACTCATTCGATTAGTTTATTACAAGGAATGCAGTACGACGCACAACAACATTTACATATTTTATCAGTATTGCACAAAAGCACAATGCCCCTGAGCATACATGAATGGTACGCACATGGAGAAGGTATTCAGTGCAGGTAACTTCTAAAATTAAGTACTGTGTAGTCACGTATTAAAATGCGAATGATACTATAGTGTTCTTGAACTGGCTCACATTGACATGATTTTATAATGAAAGAATTGGCTACTGGGTCATTCCACGACAGATGTCCGAGTCATTTTGGCGATTGTCTCAAATGTATTTGAAAAAAAATCGCGCTGATTTTACTGCATTAAAAAGGTAACTGCTAGAATATGTCGCAGACAAATATTTTTTGGTCACGTTGCTACCTCCTGAACTTCCCGGAATCTCGTCTGGGTGTTTGTGAAAAAAATTATTTCATAAGTACCTCTTCTTCTTCCGTGCCAAATT